AGTCCACCTAGGTATGGCCTCACGAGCGGTGCAGTCATGTCCTTAAAGGCATTCTGCAAAACGTCAAAGGATCCCTCAGGGTTCCAAGACCAAGTATGTACTTGGTAGAGGATTCGAGACATCACCAGGCTCCGAAGAATTGCCACTTTGTTTTGTGGACAGACATACTTGGAAGTCCAGAGAGGGCGTAACAACGGCCCCCAGGCTTTACGGGCATGGGCTACTCTATATCGAGCATCTCTGCTTGCAGTAGCGTCTGACTGCGTGTACGAGCCTAGGTGCTTGTACGAGTGCGCAACTCTCACAGCCTCAACCGCATGCTCAAGCACAATGGGGACAGTGCTTTTCTGCGTAATATGTATCTGCTGCTTGAGCTGGCGCGACCCTTGCCCTTTCAATCCTAAGAGCAGCTCCGTCTTGTCGGGCTTGAAATTAACCCTCAAGCCCCTCTTACGACAGGCATCCGCAAGTAAGCTCACGATCTGTGCAGCTGCTTGGATCACTTGATTGGCTTCCGAGTGAAGCACGCAGATGGCTATATCGTCAAAGAAAGAGACATCCATCACTGACGGTGCATGATGCCCGTTTTCCCCACGAAATGCCTCCTCTAAGGACTGGAATCCTAACGAATGCATCCCTTTGCGAACATCTTTGAGTAGCGTCTGCGTGACCAAATTGAAGCAGACGTCTCCTATGGGATCTCCGGGACGAGTACCCCTTTGTGTATGGGCTGCAGTACTGATGCCCCTCGTCCGAAAATGGGTCAAACGAAAGGCATCTCTAGTCATGCCAAGAATCTGCTGACGCAGAGCGCATAGTCCTGACTGGCTTGTTGTCTCCATTCATGGAGTTCTTCACTAGTGATCCCAGAGATTTGGAGGAAGCGAACTAAGGAGTCATCCATAGTAGCATTGCCAAACAGGCTCTGGCGCAGGACACTGTAAAAGGCTGCGTTCAAGTCAAGGAAGGCACATCCTACTGACAATGACCTGGCAGCGGCGCATGAAAGTATGGACTGGACAACCTATAGGTGGCCGTGTTCAGTACTGACTCCAGGTCTTCCTCCGTAGCAGGCTGCTCCTGCGACTGCCTGGTACGTGTTGCTCAAACTGTCATGCAGGCAACTGTGTGAGAGCTTGCCGATGCCATCTGACAAAAAGATGGATCTGTAATTTGTGGGGTCAGTGACAGCCCCTTTCTTAACACTGCAGGGGCTCTCGTGCCGCTATAGCCACTTTGAGGATCAGCTCATGCAGCATGATACCTAAGATGGAACCGCCAGCTTTGAGCACTTCATTTGGAATGCCGTCAAGCCCAGGAGCTTTACCTGCACGCAACCTACGGAGCTTCCTTTGAACCATAGTTAGCGTGGGGAGGTCATCAAATCCAGGGACGTGAGTCGCTCCTGCCTGCTGCAGATGGGCCTCTTGCAACTGAGTGTCATGAACTTCATAGGCTGCTTCGATTGCGCCAAACTGGCGAAACCATTGCTCCTGCTGCTCAGCAAACGACTGCAAGACCTGGCCTTGGGCATCCTTAAGCATAGGCAGCTCACGAAAAATTCCTGCCTGTTTCTTCTTTCTCCCCATTTGACTCAACTTGGCATAAACGGCCTTGAAGTCACCGAGTCTCACGCAGCCCTAACTTCTTTTTCAACACTCCTCTGCTCCAAACAGCGTCCACCCTGCCTCGAGCGAGACTGAGGATTTGACGCTTCCAGCTGACCAAGACTTGTGCGCCGTTAGACATCCATGGAGGCTTGTTGTTGACCCTATGTGGGGTGAAAATGCTTTCTGCAAGTCGCTTCAACTGCTGCCTTTGCCAATGAGCATGGCGATCGATGTCCATGTTCCACATTGGGACTGGCAGTGCCGCCAATGCGTCTTGAAAAGCTCTCACCTTGGAGGGATCCTTGCAGACTCTCTATCGATTCGCAATCGAACAGGCACCGCGGCAACGCAAGTGCTATAGATTTCAAGGACCGTTGGCACGTGGTCATCGTGCACAAAACCTCCATCAAAGTCCCCCCAACAGAATGAAGCATAACAAGCTGGCCTCATCCATTGCCGAACTAGCACATGGTCAATTCTTGTCCACATGCCCCGTGGGTGGCGCCATGTGCCTGTGGAGCCTTTGTGGATATCGGCAAAGGTAGCAGGACAACACAAGTCACACGATTGAATGCATTGTTCCAAGAAGGGTGTTGCTCCGTTAGCTTTTTGTGCGGCGTGCGATGAGATGCCTTCACACTCGGATTGACCCAGGGTGGCATTGGCATCAATGCAAACACACATCTTGGCATGTTCAGGGACTTTCATCCAGTGCCCCTGCAGTTGAGCCCGAAAGGCCCAAATGATGGGAAAGCATGATGGGCCATTAGGCGTCTACCGCCTGGACTCAGTGTCAGTTTGGGACGCAAGAGTGTCTGTGGTGTCCGTCGTCTTTGTGCACCTGTTTTCGGGATTTTGTAGGTGTGGGGATCTGCATTGGCATATCGAGCACCATGACTGGACACATGGGATCGAGTGTTTTTGTCTTAGCATAGACCTATGCATTCAGAGGGAGGAGGGCGATTTGCTCGACCCCAAGCGAGTTCAGTGGTGGAAGGAAAGAATTCAAGCCAGACAGGTGCTTGGCATCGGGGCCCCCCTTGCGAGACCTGGACAGCAGCCAGATGGTTGGGCGGGGGTCCCCCTCCGTTACGCGACCGAGCCCATCCATGGGGGCTCCACTGGCTGTCTCGTAAACAGCATAGACAAGTCCAAGTGGGCACAGGGCTCTTACAAGTTGCAGTTGAATTGATGATGCTGTGTGTAGGGCTTGGAGGGCGCGGTTTCATAGAGCATCCGCAGACGCCGACATGGCTTTACCACACGCCGTGTCCCTCCATCTGGAGGCTGCCGATGATCAAAGCACTAGCCTCTCTTAGCGCAGTAGCAGCAGTATCGTTCGACCAATGCATTTTTGAAGCCCCAGCCCTGAAGCCTACGACCTTCTTGATTGCCAGACTCCCGCACTTCAGGGCGCTTGTCTTACAGAAGGGTTGTGGAGGAAGATGCCCACATGGGCCGGGCGCCCATGCCGGCCTTGCCGGCACACACAACGGCAAGTTTCGTACCGCCAAGGCTAAGGTCTGTCCTCCACTCCTTAACCAAGCTATTGCAGCGGCATTTCATGCCTTCGTGCACCGCTTGAGGCCCGAGAAGGCATCCAGTCGACTGCCTGACGTACTATATCAGTACGTCAGCACGGAAGCCATGCAGGACCCGGGTGAAATTCAACCCGATTACCATGGATGATCTGCATTGGCTGTGTATGCATGTTTGACAGACCAAGGATCCAAAGGATCCAGTAAGTGCGAAAGGAAAAAGGATTGGATTGGATTGGATTAGATAAGATAAGAATAGATAGATAGATAGGTAGGTAGATAGATCGATAGACAGATATGTAGACAAATGGATAGAACAGCGTGGAAAGACGCTACGCTAAAAGCTGGGTGGGGTTGAAGTGTAGGGCTTTGCAGGTCATGTGTCATTAGAGCGAAGAAACATGCACAGCTTTCTTGATGTCTTGTGAAGGCTCATGCATTACACCTGGGCTATGTACCGCAGCCCTTTGCTTGCGCGAGAAACAAGAGCTTTTTGCTGTGTAGGTTATGAGCCCAAGGGTGCGCTAGGCACTTTTGGGTATCGTAGAGGGCCTCATGAGCGAGGAAGCATCGGAGAGAACTCCGGAATCTGGTGGCCTCAAAGCCATTGAGGATGCAGGCCCTAGTGACGGGTTGATGCGACCTAGTGGGCCTCCTGTGGTGCTAGGACCAGCTGCGGTGAATCCATTCTGGTCCGAAAGGTTCCAAGATGAAGCTGTTTTGCGGGCTCTACGTCCAGCTGACTTGCCAGTAGAGTCACCTGAGTTGCTCCCTGATTCTGCCTTGTCGCCGCCGAAGGAAGGGGTGGAAGCATTTCGGACGTTCTTGCACGGCCTGATGTCGGAAAATGCAAGACTCTGGACCGAGCGTGAATCTTGGCCACTCGGGCAAGGAAACCATGGGTGGGGCAAGCCATCACTGGCTTTCAATCATCCACCTCTGTGGGTTATGGCATGATGTCAGAAGGTCAACAAAGAGAGAAGAACATGATGGATTCACTGCTTGAGGCATTGCGGTCTTCGTGGGTGTCTTCAGGGCATGGTGGGCAAAAAGGCTTGCTGGGACCGCTGTCGTCTGGCGGAGATTGTGGAGGCCGAGGTGCTGTTCATGGTCTTTCAGGCGATCAGGGAGGTCTTCATGGGCACGTTGGGGGACCACGTGCAAGTCTCATGGAAGTGTTCAATCGTGTCTCGGCGACTTCAGGAGATGTCACGCAGGGCATGGTGGAAGCTTCGGCGGACAAGAAAGATGGCACAGCCAGGAGCTGTTGGAGCATTGGTCCTCGAAGAGGTTATAGAGTGAAGAGCTCAACAAGATCGCTGTGGTGCGGAGGAGGGACGAGAACATGGAGAATGGCTCCATTGGTTAGAAGCGATGGTGTTTTCAAGGGAAGTGGTCCTGGAGGAGCAGCATCCAGTGCTGGAGGGAGCACGGTGGTCTAAGATTGCAGCAATGAATGATGAAACCACCACAGGTGTTGGCACTTTCTCAAGACCAAGCACGGTGCTTCAAACCTATACAGTTCCTCTCCAACAAGTGCGACGCGAGCTGGAGAAGTGGAAGGAGCCCTTAACGGATGAATATCTCTCGTTGACCTCCAACACCAAGGCTTTGAGACCCACGACGGAGGCCTTGAAACTTCATCCCAACTATGCCGAGATGGAAGTGGCACCTGCGATGGTCATCCCCAACTTTGCATTGATAACTCAAATTAGAAAACTATCTTGAAATGTTCTTTGAATGCATGTGACTTGTCAGTTCATTACAGTGAAAACCAATTACTGCCTACACGTTCTGACGAAACCCAGACCTGTGAGTTTGAATCTATTTGAATGCTCAAGAGAAATCCAGCCTGGCTGAATGGATTTGAACTTCTGGGCAGAACTGATCTCAAAGAATGGTTCTTCATCCTTGAAGGAAAAGCTCCTTGCAACTCCATCGCATGGGATGTAGAAGTCCAAGACTTCCTTACCTTGCTGCTCTTGCTGCTTGACATAGACATGGTAGCCGGTGTGTGCTGAATTGGCAGCAAGTCCAACAATCTCTATACCCGCTAAACCACCCCACGTGTCTTGCACAAGTTTTCTCAATTGGTGGCCCTTCCTTCCAATGATTAGCAAACACTTGTGCTTGGCATTTGCGTAGTTTGTCTTCGACACATTCTTAAAGCGTTTTCGATGTTCTTCAATCGCAGCTCGTCCGCGAGCAGCCACGACCGCTTCAATGGCGAAAGCTGAACAGTCCTGCGTTGTATAATAGATGTAAGCCTTCCCATCAGGTGGGCTCTCCAAACTACTTACGGTTCGAAATCCCAAGCGCTTCAACACGCGAATTAAAGCAAAGGTGTAATGAACCTCAAATGGGAGCTCTTCTCCTGAAATATCAGAATGAAAAACTGCCTGGCCGTGGTCTTTCACACTGATGGCCACCACTTCCGCAAAAAGCAAGGAGGGCAGCGCTCGCAAAAGAAAATCTATGCAACTAGCTGGGTGTGTGTCTATCTCCACTGTCAGCTGCCGCTTTTTTGCAAGCGCTTGGCGGTAATAGGAAGCCATCAGGTAATTGGCGACACCATACTTTGCCCCGGGACATGCCCAGTCCAGTTCCTGAAACTCATTTTGCTCCGCCCCCCATGTTGTCTCGCAGAGTAGGAAGTACGAAACCATGAATTGCGAGCATGCGGCGGACAGGTATGTCGATATCGTCAGTTGGACCCTCGCACAAGATTTTCACGAATTGTTCTGGTATGTTCTCCAAGCTTGCAAAATACCCATTCACACGAATGGCTCGAATGGTCTGAAGTTTCCCCATCAAGCTATCATCTGGGGCGTAAATCCAATTCTCTGTGTCCCATGCTTGGCTAGCCTCGCCAAGGGCGCGAGTCAAATTCCACGGAGTGCTGTTCCTCTGCTCTGCGCTCTGCTTCTCCTGCACCCATTCCATGCTTCTTATGAAGAGGCCTCTGTGTCCACAACAAAAGGTCAGAAAGAACTCAATCGCATCTTGAGACAAATACACATCAGCCTGGGCAAGTTGATTAACAAGAGCTTTGGCATCTGGCATTGGGGGGGTCCAGATGAACTTTGCAGTAATTTCCGCAGGTGTTCGTGAGATAGCTCCATGCATGTCCACAGCTTCAGATGCAGCTGATAGCAACAACATCATGGGAGGCTGCCATAGGTGTCCAGGTTTCAAGAACATGTTTAAGAAGTCCGGACAACTGAAGAGCAAGTGGCACTCATCAAAGACCAGCACCCGATCATTGTCATGTACATATTTGACTGCATCTTCCATGCTTCGTTTCGCTACATCAGGAGCGGAAGGCTCGTTCTCCAAAGCTGCCATGAACTGTATCTGCCAGTGCTGAGAGGTCAAACTATCAAAAGCAGGAGGATAGACTTGCAAATACTTAAACGGGTGCTCTCTACAAAGATAATGCGCCAATGTAGACTTGCCGCTAGCCACACCAGCACGAAGAAAAACAACCCTCTTCTTTTGCAACAGAGCTTCAAGCTGTTGAACTGTTTCGTCCAAAGGGATGAAGACATCGGTAGCAGGGTCAGCGAGTTTCAGTGGATGTGGAATCTTACGTTTGCCACTTCTCACCCTCTTTATCTCCATTGACTCCATTGCCGTGTATTTCACCAGCCGCTCCACAAGGTCTGCTTTTCGCCCTGACACCTTCAAACCCTTCTCGCGCAGCTTTGTCTTCAGTTTTCTCACTGTCAACTTCTCTAGGCTTGCTCTAGTAGTTTCTCTGCCTGAACCTGGTACTGCTAGAGTTTGCGAGCCGTTGATTGGCAGGTGCAAGAAGCACAGCACGACAATCACAATAGCAACTAACAGTTTGAAGCGTGATTGACCAGCTCGTTGGCGGGCCATGGCTTCGAAAAGGAATGTTCCTACCCTTAAACTTTTCTAGGACAGAGGTGACAAAAACATGGTTGACACTCAATGTATCAACTCTCCTGAGCTTGAAAGGTTTGTTCTAGTCCAAAATCCTGTCTGAACCAGAGTGCTTCCCAATTCCATCATGCATGAAGTTTGACAAGGTGCTCTATCTCGTTCCCGTGGCTCAAATTTGTCATCCAATCTGGACAGCACAGAAAGAAAACACCAGCGGAAGAGCATGGAAGCACGCAAGTGCGAAACAGGTGACGCTAACCAAATCTCAGCAAGCATGACAAAGAGCAAGCGCACTCACAGGAAGAAGAAACACAAAATGTCATATTATCCTGCCTGAAACAAGAAGAGGTTGATGTATTCAAAATTGGGTTTAAGGTTGTTGGGGAAAATGCCGCCGATGGTGGTAAAACCATATTTGGTTTGAGGACAGTTTGGTTCGTGAGAAGCATCACCTCGCCGCGGAAATGAGAAAAACCTGCCTCTGTTGTGCAGAAAGGCTATACGGATAGAACCTGGTTCCGTCTTTAAGAAAATGCCACCGATTTTGGGAAAGTCAGCCACCGACTTTGGGAAAATCAGCCACCCACTTGGGGAAAATCAGCCACGGATTTCAAGAAAAACAGGCTCCTTTTTTGATTGATTTGGGACAAAGCTCAAGTCTCACTGTTTTGAACGCTAAGCATTTGGGTTTGGATTTAGGAATTGAAAACTGGGTGTATCTAAAAATATGTCAACCGGTAGGAAGTTGGAAGGGTAAACTGCTCGAACCTAAAAAATTTGATGTCGAAACTGTTTTGGGGTATGTGTTAGGGAAGCGCAAACTGATATACACAGTTCCTATTGAGGATGAAAATACTTCAACAACTATATTTGCAGTATGCCTTGTTACCTTGTAAGTAGTGGAGTTGAAATCCCGATGACGAATGAAACCTTTGACTTTATTTGGAACGGTTTTGGAAGCAAAGAGCTGACTGACAGCGAAACGGTTTCTTCATCGGAAGAAAGCTATGAAGCAATTTCATCAGTCCAAGCAGGACGACGGACACTACAACAGAAAACCGAACGACGAAAAGCATTTCAAAAAATATTACCAAGATAAAACGAAACAACCGTGTGTATGCGATAAATGCGGCTCTGCCATGAGCTGCAGGTCAAACTTGGCAAAGCATAAGAAAAACCAAAAAGTGCCAAAGGTGCTTAGTGTAAGTTCATTAGGATTTTATGATACAAGAAAATATCATAAAATTATAATCTAAGTATTTTTAATGACGAGATTGGAAAAATAAAAGGTATTGGAAAAAATACGACGTGGAGGAGGGCTTCGGTTCTGTGAGGGACTTGTACGAAAAGGCTAGGAAAGTCGATGTAGGCATAACTTTGGATATGGTTTCACAGTGGATGAAATCTCAACCAAACAAACAAACAAGAAACTACAAGAACTACAATTCTTATACTGCCCCTTATCCTAAATATGAATTTCAAATTGATTTGATGATAATGACAAGTCTGTTGAGGGATGTTAAAAATGAAATAAACAATCAACCTACCTTTGGCTTGGTATGTAAAGACATTTTCAGTAAAAAATGTCATATAGTGCCAATGGAAAGTAACGACACTGATGATGTTTATGATGCTGTAATGGAGTGCTTCAAGGTATTAGGTCAGCCATTATCAGTCTATTCTGATGACGAAGGAGCATTAAACAGTAAGAAATTACACGCCTATGTTCAAGGAGAAGGGATAGAGCACATAATAACAAAATTACACGCTAATCAGGCTAAGAGCAAATAAAAATAAGACTTGGGTAGATATGTTAAAACCATCACTAAATAGATACAATACTCAAGTTCATAGTTCAACTAAAATGAGCCCAAACAAAACGCACGACCATAAAAATGCGCTTGAAGTAAAGTCTAATCTTGTTTTAAAAAACAACACAATAGGAAATACCCAAGCATTAGGGAGGGAGATTATGTTAAAGTTTTTGATAAAGGCAAAGGCAACTACACTTCAAGAAAAGAAACAAAAAGTCAATGGACTGATAGAAAATATAACGTAATACTCAAGGGCCGAGACATGCTGAATAATACCTATTATAAACTGGATGGACTAAGCAAAAAATACAACCGTCATGAACTGCTACTACTTGTAAATGATTGACATTTTTTGTTTGTTAAATGTGTTTTAAGGTCCTATTTTTTGACAGTTGAACCACAGTGATCACACACAGTTTTTCTGCTATTTTTCCTTGTTGTTGTCTCTGTGTTGTTTGTTGTATTCACTTATATGTTCTTCATTGTTTTCTTTCCGACTTTTATTGTATTCAGTGGAGTAACCTTTCTTTTCTTCTCTTTTTGCCTTCAATTTGACTGTAGTATTTTCTCTATAGATTTTGTCTGTTTCCTTTTTTCTTTGTTTGCTTTCCTTTCTATACCTTTCCGGTGTTCTTCCAACAATAATTTTGTTGATACATTTAGTGTTCTCAATGTAATATCCTTCTCTTGTTTCCAATTCCTTTTTGTTATTACAGGGGTACTCTTCAATCCAAATATTATTACAATTAATGTGGTCCCTTGATTATAACCCCCCCCCCTCAACAACCAGGCCTCCAAAATAATGTATAAGAAAATCAATCAGTTGATAATTAAATAAGGAATCCTTAGCTAGCTACCTCTGGAGCTACTCTGGCAATATTAAATCAAAAGGAAAAAAGAATTCCTAACTTTGAAGACATCTGGAATATTAATTACAATAAAAGGGAATGAATCATGGAAATAGAACTAACTGTTTAAATTTCTATGGAAATCTGAATCCAAAGACCTGCAAAATCATTCATCTCAATGGAAATCTCCAAATGTTTAATAGAAATCTCCATCCAAAAGCCTCCAAAAGCATCAAATCTCAATGGAAATCTTCAAATGTTTAATGGAAATCTCCATCCAAAAGCCTCCAAAAGCATCAAATCTCAATGGAAATCTCAAGTTTCTTAATAGAAATCTCCATCCAAAAGCCTCACTTCAGAGCACAGCAACACTCGATCGAGTCTTCGTTTGTTCAGTTTAGCTGAGCTAGCACGCGAGCCTTTTCAAGCTCGACGAAGGCATGGGAGTATCGAGCTGAGTCTCTATCAAAATGACACACGGGTTGGATGTTCACCATCAACCAAAGACCCAAGTGTGGGTTCTCCTCATGAGAATCTCTTCGCGAGACCGATTAGTTGAAAGAACAAAAACCACCCAAACTTCAAGGAGCAACATTT